TCCCAAAAGCTCAGTGTCTGAAAACATCACCACCTTCAGCATCACAGGATGTAAAATCCAAAAACCCGATAAAGAAGCACAAGGTCTTCATGGCATTTCTTTGTAACGTATAGAAGTAAGAAGAAAACGTGCACATTCTCATCGGATGAGCCTAGAAAAAGGAACTGCTGGGATAAAATCTAGTTCTGACATGTAACTGAATAGAATCTGGGTCTATAAATGAGGCAAAAGATCCAGGGTTCGTCTGTTCTGTACAGCTGCGTTGTTCCTCTATCTCAGTGAAGTCTGTCCTTCTGTTTGTGTCATTGAAATGGGACACAGAGAGCAGAGGGTAGCCGTTGGGAGACGAACATTCCATTCATTGGCTCTTCATTACAGCGTCACCTCCTCGCTGCAGTCTCTTTTCGCGGGATGCTGGAGGCAAAGGTGAAAACTTGGTCACCAGCGCAGTATCTGAGCAGGCACACCCTGGCTGCCGTAGGGCGGCGAGGATCAAGGGACCCCAAGTCCTCCAGACGTGTGGTTACTGGAAACACTGTGCTTGGCTCGATGTTACCAGAGACGCTTTTCACTTAGCTTGAATAACCTAAAAATGATGATTCTGCTGTACTAGACAGAACCTTGTCATACTAGAAATTGTGCAGGTCTGTAGTAATCAATACTTACGATTATCAATAATTATTTAAATCCACCAATGTTTAATTAATAACTTGCTTCTGTTCTCTGAAGCCACACAAAGGCCTCTGTCCTCACACAAACTTAACTTCCAGTGGGCTCACAAGCTGTGTGTCTTGATACCTGCTAAAAGTATACGATCCCATCACAAAATATTTTATCAGCTCGTCTGGATTTACCAAAAAAACCCCCACATCAATAGCTTTTAGCTGTAATGAAAAAGATCACCATTAACTTGGTACTATTTAGTGTCACAGTAAGAAACAGCAATATTTTCCTCAACGCTAATGAATTGCCTAAAGGCTCTGTATTTCAGTGTGGTCTGTCCCTGTATTCCAAACTCTTGATTCGTAAATCTATCTTTTCGAGGAAGGAAAGACATCTCCTCAGGACGCGCACGCTTGCTATCTTTAGAAAGCCCCACTGACGTTGCTGCGGCAAACATTTGGTACGGTCATTCCTGGATTTGTGTTCCATTTGTGTGGAAAGCAGCGGGATTACCAAGAGCAAACACTCAAATGGTAGAACAGTGCACAAGGACGTGCAAACTAAAACGTCTTCCAAACAAGTTTGGAAAAAATAATCAGAAAATTATCGACGCGGAAGAGGTACCTGCAAACTGCGGGGTGTCGGGTGCACCAGCTGGAGCAGGGCTAAAGGGGTCAAACACACAAATGCTGCCTCAGCAAGTCACACTTGACAAGTAACGTTCCATCTTTTCAAATCTCAGGGATATCAGCTTGACCCTAGGATTGGCATCTCTCAACAGAGCTTCTCCTGCTTTATGACAGTCTTCCCTGAGGCTCGTTCCACCAGCGGGCCATCTCGATGATCTTTGGCGCGAGGTCCAGGGTTGAAATTAGTGACGAACCTGCCGATAACTAGAGCGGGCTTTCAATGAAGGGTGGGTGACACAGCTGAAAGTTAAGCTACGCTTTTATACCGTACTGCAGTACTATTAGAGAACAGAAAGGTTTCGTGTGCTGCGAGTGAGCTCTCTCCCCTCTCGCCACCCTTCCCCTCTGGTGAAATCCCATCTCCTGCCGGGGCCAAAACCCGCTCCTACATCCCACGGAGCAGCCTGGGACGGCGCCGGGCTCCCCCGCTCCTCCCGCCTCTCCCGAAGGGAACACAACCCCCAGCTTCCTGCAGCTCTGCCCCCCCCGCTCTGATGCTCTGCAGGAAGGACCCTGGGAAGACCCGGCCTTTCGATGGCGATCGTGGGTTTAATCGCACAACGCTTCAGTCCCGACAGGAACCTGGCCATCGCTGCAGAGAAGTACCGAAAAAGTATGTACCTAGATAACGGATTTCAGCCCTTTTGGAATACTTAATTTAAATGAACGCACAGTACAGGAATGAAATTCAAAGATTTCAAGAACGTAATATAGTTGGAGAATAAACACGAAGCTTTGTTCTTGCATCAGAATGTATTAGATTTTGCAATTTGCATATACAAATAATTCAGCAACATTCACCGGCATTAAAAACACAGCAAGATCAAATTATAAATGTAATAAAAGAAAATAATAAGAGCTGAAACTGTATAATACATACATATATTATAAAGATTTGACAAATTAAATACAATTTGGTTATACAGAAAAGTTTCAGTAACTTTACATTAAAAATGGTACTGGGGAAATGAAAACGGTTCAAAATACTGAACACAGGTGGTCAGGCTCATTTTAAAAGTTTAAAAAACTGATACGTAAAAATACCCTAAAAAACACTGGTAATTACAGTCTGCATTCTTCATTAAGGCCCAGTTCAGCAAAGCACTTAAGGGATTGCTTCAGGAACAAAGAACCTACGGGACTGAAGTGTTTTGGGGAACAGAGATGTCGTAAAGCGAATGCTTAAATGCTGAGGTGAACCGGGACCTGTCTTAACACGTGAAAACAGACGGTCAAGTCACATAGTGACCAAAACCACGTACAGATCAGAATGTACAACTTCTAATCAACTATTTGGCATTGCAAAGTAATTCCATGCAACATAGGAAAATCTAAAAGAAAATTCATATTGATCTGTCTCAAGACACAGCTCCCCAGTTCTCAGCCCGCTGCCACCAGCAGGCTGGTGACGAAGCACAAGAACCAGAAAGCAAACTTTTCAAATTATTTAAAAAAAAAAAAAAAAAAAAAAAAGTCATTATGTAGCTATATTTGTGACTTCTGAAATATATTATACCCATTTCTCTTTCCTCCTAGATATCTTAATATAGTCAGCAACTAAGATCTGAGTACCCACTTTGTATTTGATGTTGGAGCTGAACTCCATCCTGCTCCTTGCCGTAGCTCCAGAGGGCTGCTGCGCCCCGCGGAGCAAGCCCTCGGGGCAACCCCGCGGGCAGCTGGAGTTCTGCTGCAGCTCCCGCCGCTGCCGGGGACCACGGGACATCGCCTGCACTGCCACTGCGTGAAGGGTTTGCTTCGCCAGGCAGCCCTTGATCCCAGGTTTTATTTAAGGGATCCAACAGACAACTCAAGTTTCCAAATGGAGGCGAAAGATCCCGACGTCGGGAGCTGACGGGACCATAAACCAGGCTTCTTTGGGAAACGGTGGGAATCTCTTTGCCTTATTTTCTATCATCATTTAACCTCTCTAAGCCTCCCTGTGCATGATCACACCGAAAACCTCACTGAACTGGTTGCCGCAGCGAATTTATCTGATGGCTTTTGAAAACTTGGTAACATTTCAGCACGCAGGAGTCGTGTAAACTTCCTTGGCATTCGTTTTCCTTCCTCAACACCTCCTGCGACTTGAGCGTATCTTCTCGGAGCCGCTCGCCACAAAGGCGGAGTCTTCAAACAATCTTTAAGTGCATAATTTACTGTACAAATAAATACAGAAGTGCCTCGATGGGAAGACAAGCAGCAGTGAACGGCGGCGTTCCGAACAGTGTGCTCAGACATTTCCAAAGCGCGCCTTCTCCCTTCGGGATGCAGGGAAAGGAGAGGTACGACCGCCTCCCCGTTTCCTTGCGTCGTGACGGACTGCAACGCTACTCGGTATCGGCACGGACAGATGGTCAACGGTAAAATAGTGCAAGAACAGCAGTGACATGAGCAGAGCAAGTCGCTTATTTTAAATAAGGCTTTTATGTTTGCATTGAAAAAACCCCAACCGACAGGACAAGTCAGAACTATTGCATATTAGCTACGTCATTAAAGTACATATTCGCATACTTTGTGCTCATTAGTTCATAGATGCATTTTAAAAGAGTGAAAAAGATACACTTTTTAATTATCCAACATTCGGATGCCCTGTGGGTTTTGGATTTTCTAACCCCCAAGCATATCCTGTTTGGGGCTACGATAAAGACTTTTAAACTTTATTTCACCAATTATATTATCAGTAGTACTTTCATTAAAAATATATCTCTATACACAACCGTATGCCCCTTTTAGGTAAAGGAAGCATTCCTCTTGATAATCTATATGGGAGGGTAAGAACGCAGGGGAGCTTTTTGCTACAACGCTTACTGTCGCCAACGTTACACTGCCAGTAAAATGGTTTTTCAAAATTTTAGCAGATACTGTTGGTTATTCTGTCGAGCCTCATCAAAGAATACAGGTTCATCTTCATCCCTCTCGCCTTTTCTCAAAGTGGATGTAGAGAAGCTTTAAATCCATTTCGGACAACGGCTAAAAAGCCTCTTCAACCAGAGAAGTTCAGGTGCTGCAAAATAGACTCTTCTGATATGCAAAATATTCTCAAAATAGTGGTAAACTCACATTATTGTCTTTCTAAGTTGATTTAAACTGGTGTAGTATTTAGGGAAGAACAAACTAAATGGTCTTTGAAAGCGATATTAAATCAAACATTCACATCTGTATTTATACTGGTGATATCGTACTGGCACCCAGACTCAGAACTGCCATCAACCTGGAGGTTCTTAAACCCAGACTTGGAAGCAGCTCTGTTGTCACCTGGGCTGTCCGTTATTACACATGACGGGCCACATTCTGACACCTTTATCACTAACAGCACTTCACTGGACCAGCCTCTTTGCCTTCACCGAGACTGTTTGTGACGCAGCTTACAGGTAAGCGGGAGCAGGGTATCAGAATGTGTCCCCAGATAAACATCTGTTTCCATAGCGAGCGGGGGTTTCTGGCCAAACCGTGTTTACTTGAAACGTATGTACGACAAGTCCCTTTTTTTAGTATGAAATGTAAATCACCTGTGTAAAGTTCCAAAATTGGGAGATAGCGTTTTTGATAAATATTTTCTAAGTGGAAAACTTCAAAGAAATAGACTCTCAAGAATTAATTTACTGTTATTTAGAATAAAGATTTCTCTACCATCTTAGAGCAATATACTGTATATGAACATTATACTTCGCTTTAGAAGATATTTATATATTTAAGAAATAACTTTATACAGCAAATGCAACTTTTAGAGCAAACACAAGGTCGTATTTACAGGAAAAGTCCACAATCAAAACGACATGGAATAAATTAACAGAATATACAACTATTTATACAGACAAATTAAAAAATAAGGCAGGAATTTTCATTTGAAGTTAGCATAATCGGAAAATATGTCGATGAAGTCTTGTACCACTCTGTAGCAGAATTCATACTGTTCCTGAAAAACAATAGAAGGGCATCAAAACGTGCTTGGGTTGCGTCATACGACTGCATTAGAGAAAACGGTGCTTTCGCAAACCCTAGTGATGAATGCGACACGTTCTAACGACCAGTAGCTGCGGACTGGTCTGCTCGGATTGGTATTTCCCCGTCTGCTGTTGAGAATAGCAGCGGTGGCACCTCGCTCCGCTGCCAAACGCAGGCTGCTGGGGGCTCGCCTGGGAGCTTTCTAAGTGACCTTTGTGAAAGTGAATCCATCCTTGGACCTCTCTTCTGGCGTTCCCCAGGGAGCTCTTCAACCATGGGCTCCACCTTCTGAGCTTTACCGCAGAATCTAAGTGACCACGTAACTCGGAACGCCCCAGGACGTTAAAACCCCTCCACCTTCGTTGCGCTGACCTGGAGACGCCCTCGCTAAGGCCGTCGGTTTGGCCGCTGCCTGCGTCAGCCTGCTGGCTAGTCCTCGGCACCCTAAAGTCGGGACCCATCCCCATCTCCCGGGCGTGCCGACACGCCTTCGACACGATTTGCTGGATTACAAAATCGGTAACAACGCTGATAATAAATGGAATTGGCATCTGAATTCACTCGTGCTGGAAAGCAGGGTTTAGCCGAAGCCTTTCCGCAGGCTCAGCTGGGAATAGCTGTGGCAATTACCCCCTTAACTAATGTTAGTGAATCACAGAACCCCAAAAGAAATATTTCATCCCTGTCTCAGCGTGACGGCGGAGCAGCCAGTTCTACTTCTCCAACCCCTTTCTTCCTGGCTGTAGCAGGGAGCAAACATCCACCTGAACAAGGTGTTTTGAGACAATTGTTTCTAAAGAAGTTCCCAATTACTGAATGGAAGCTGCTCTCAAAATACAAAACACCAGCATTTTTACATAATTTCCAAAAACATTTAAGTCTCAAAAAACTTTTTTAAGGTTTATTCAGCAGGGCTCAAGCTTCACATATTGCTTGTAGATGAGCTTAGAGAAGTCAAAGGCATTTCTCCCTTTCCGAGATGAACTGCAAGCCAATTTAGGCCTGAGCATTTTATGGTAACAAAGAACAACCAATACACAGCGTGGCGGGCATTTACTTCGTACGTTTTGTCACCTGCAACACTCAAAAGATTTTGGTTTAACGTCTCCAGTTCCTAAAAGACCCAGAATGTTTAGCCAAGTTCTATTTTTTTTAGAAATGCTATTAAAAAACCAAAACCAATCCAGATTTCTGATCGTACCTTGTACCCACACAGCCACCATACATAATTTATTCCAACCTGCAAAAAAATCCTTTGTTCTCCTCCCGCAGAATATTTACAAACACACACCCTCTGACACAGATCCCGACTGTTAAATGTCATACCAGTGTTTGCACCATATGTGGCCTTTGCAGTCTCAAGCTCTTCACAGCTTGAAATACGTCGAGGAGCCCTTCAGCCTTCACTCGCTCCAGAATATTGCTGAGTGCTATGAAGGTCCCTGTTCTTCCAGCGCCAGCACTGCAACGTAAACACATTTGCTTGACATACAGGCGGATAAAAATGTTAAAAAAAAGAGAAACAGCAGCAATACAGACCCGCCAAACACCGCTATCGGCCAACTTCAACTCATTGCTTGCGCTTAGTTTGTCACCTCAGCTGTGCTACAAGGGAGCCGGCGCTGATGGGCGTTAACTCGGAGCCAGGCTGGAACCAACAAAGGTTTGTTGCTGACGGCTTCGGTGCGCGAGCGGGAGCTCCCGAGCTGGCTGCGGCCGCGTGGGGACACCCTCAGCCAAAGCCCGAGACTCCAAAGCGGAACGGGCAGAGCCGCTCGCTCCCATGGGACGTGCTCCCGCGCTCTGCTTCCCGCTTCCTTCTGGAGGGGGCAGAACATCTTCAGCCTTTCAGCTGCAAAAGCGGGTTCCCGTGCAAAGGGGCGCTGCGCGAGCAAACCCGCGTTCTTGTGACCTGCTCGGGGCGGCCCTGCTCTGGCCGGGGGGTTGGACGAGATGATCTTTTGAGGTCCCTTCCAACCCCCACCGTTCTGTCATTCTTCTGGTAGGCTGTGATTTGTCCTTCTGCGTGGTGGACTGGTACCAAAGCATTACTATTGTTATGAAGAATATTATTATGAATATTACTCCAAAGCAATTTGATGGAAAATGTCCTATCCAACTGTAAGGATTTCAAGGACTCTTGGATTTAAGCATTTCTCAAAAAGAGGTATTAATACAAGGACAAACTAAAGCCAGACTTCGTATGAGGCTATACAAGAAATTGACCCTTCCACCTCCATCCTGACTACAGTAAGCAACCTAACAGACTCCCAAGCAACTGCAGCGTCTTTTGTTTCAGCATGTTTGACTCAGTATATTTCGTCCTCGTATCTGTTTCAGACCGTGATTCCATGGAACCAAAATACATTTCGGTAATTCTTAATCTGATTCATTATGCCTAACTCCAGAGGAAAATAATAATAATAAAAAAAAAGACTTAATTCTCTCTCCTAATCATACTAATTAGGGACTATTTGACACCAACAAAATAGTGGCAGTGCACTGGAAGGCCAATGGCCTTGATAGGGAATAGTTACTGAACTGGCAGTGAACAGCAAGAAGGAGAGAAAGGTTCGCTGTATCGCCAAATAAGCATAAACACAAAACACTCTATTAAATTTAACATTTTCCTGTGTTTGAGCCACGAGTAGGTGAACTGTAATCACATGTCATCGCTTCTACTTTATTTCTATCCAATTCCAAAAAAAAATCTGGTAAGCACAAGCCTGATGAAAAGATGAAGTGCAAATACACGTGCAAGTAGTAAAGTCCACGAGTTAAAGTCTCTCTGGAGGGAAAACAGGTACCAAGCACGAGGTGCGTTATTCCCTTTACGTTTACCAGATTAAAGACAAACACAATATAAAAGGGTTCAGATTTCCTTGCGATTGGCTAATCTCTAGTAGCCACCTGCGGTTTCTAGAGGAGCCCAAGCGATGCATTTCGGAACAGCCTACAACCACGGAAAGACGAGGACACGAAGGCACAAAGTAAACCTGGATACACACACCATCACACCCGCTGCTTACTCATTTATGCCTTAAAGAGGTAAACAGGCACCGCTGTGCGCTCTGGTCTTAGCGCTCTTTGTGCCAGGTTCGCTCTCCTTTCTTCTGAAAACGTACTTTTAGCAAATCCTTAAAGCTCAAACAAGTTGCTTTTTCTTTCTTTCTTTTTTTTTTTTTTTAATTAATTGAAGAATTTTTAGTATGGATGCAAACCGCATTTGAAAAGAGGTAGAAAACACATATTGTCTCATGGGAACACGGCACTACCCTTCGCATGCCCGCTTCTCCTTCTGCAATTCCCTTAAAAGGAAAAAGTTAAATTTGACTCAAACTTCATTTTTCGAGGCAGAAAAGCAAAGGGCACGCAGAACAGGGAAAAGGCACAAGTAAGGGATCTCAAATAACACAGCAGCCTCGCGTGGTTTATTAGAGCGCGGAAAGGAGGAGACGGCGAAGAGAGAAAAAGCGGCGTTAGCCATGACCTACGGGGAAGGCAGCTGCAGACACACACCGGGAGAGAAGGGAGTTCGGATTCAGAACAGATTGGCTTTGAGTTCTGTTGGCAACGCAGCAAAACCCTTCTAAACTATTTAGGGTTATGTCTGGATTCTGCTTAAGAATTATCTTTTTTAGCAGCTCCTCAAACCGGTCGTAAATAGTTGGAAAAAAAGAAGTTTTCACAAGTTCACTCTGAAAAATCAGTCTTAGACTGGAAATGTGTTTACTTATTCATGAAGTTACATTCATTTATATTTGAAGACTCAAGTAGGACTTCATGGAGGAGTTCAAGTGACTCAAAAGCTGTGATGTACGGGCTGTCCAAACCGGGAGAGAAGACAATCCTCCACATGAAAAATCCTAGAATATGTTGTGTGCTTTGGGTTTTATTTTCTCGTTCAATCCATTTTAAAATGATTGCAGTAGATTTAAAAAAAAAAATCTAGGGAAAATACATGCCAAATGGTTAAGATCAGGCTTCAAGGAGGCTGCAGGTCTAAAAGTTTGAAAAAGCTGAAGCAATATATACCTTGGATAGATCTTTGTTTGTGCATATCAGAGACATTAGTTTTTATCTCTTATTTTACTGGCCAGAACTCCTCATTATTTTACCCACTTTAATTACCATTCAGAATTTTAACTCCCTAGCATTTCGGAAGAAAATTGTCAAATTCCAGAATCAAACACAAAATATCATCGTCACCCTCACGTGCAGCCACTGTGGGGAGGTGGAACCCATAGTTCCCGAGGGAAAAGGTACGAGAACAGCAAAGAGCAACACCCTTCCGAAGCGAGGAGGAGAAAAGTTTTAGCGATGAATACGCAAGATCATGTCCCAAAACACCAAGAAATCCAAGTCCCGGCTCAAGCTCCAAGGGTGTCTCTGCTTCAACAGCGCATGAAACACACAAGTGACATTGCAGACAGCGAAACACAAACCAGGGACTGAGACAGAACCTTTGAAACCCAAACCAGAGCAAAACGGACGTCGGCGTACGCGGCAGAGACCAGCTCTAACACGCCCATTCCTGTCTAACTCCAGCAGCGAGCAGATAGGTCCTTCTATCAACGTACTTCCAAGTGGTCAGCGAGTCTAATTCCCTGTAGGTAACGCTACAGCAACAATTTGAGTGTCACATAAATCAATAGTTTTTTGGTGGTTTTTGTTGAGTTTGGGTTTTTTTTTCAGAAGAAAAAACACTCAGTTACTCATTCAAAACCAGCTGGATATTCTAAGAAAGGCAGGAAAAATCCAGAAGCAGCACCATGTTCTCCAGCTCACTGACAAAAGGCTGGAGCTTCTCCACGCAGCAGTCAGTCCTACCGCGTCTCTAGCTCCCCCGTGGGATCACAGACACGTACAGAACATATCACAGTTAATACAACAGATGTTTCTAGATATAAAGATGCCGGGAACTTGACCTCCATGTATTGTTAGAAGATGACCAATGGTCCAGCAAAACCAGGTTTTCTCGCACACCGTGCCCAAGAGGAAAAGGTTTGAAAGGCCAATATTTAGAATGAATTAAACCAGCGATTCTCAGGGCAAGCAGAGACAAAACAATAGTTGGTTTTTACGTCGTGGTTGAGCCCGTGAGCTTCAACCGCAAGAGAGGCTCCACTGCACGAGGTCTCGGGTGAACACCGGGCAAAGGAAGGGGCTCTGGAATCTCTCGTGGTGGGTCAGAGCAGCCGGGCGTCAGCCCGTGCATTGCCCAGACCAGGCCCAATCCACCCGCCGCAGCAAAGAAGCTCACATCAAGGGCGACCTCCTGAAGTCAGCAGCTTCTTATTTAAAACAAACAACCCAAACCATAGGAACTTCTCTTCTGGGGGCTCTGAAACCCTGCTGGCCCTGGCCCTGGGTGCTGCCAGCTTGACTTTGTATTGAGCAGAAAACACAAAAAAACGCTCTATGGATTTATTAAATTTAAAAATATTTGAAAAGCAAGATATGATTGCTGAATTAGAAAAAGGCAGAATGCTCGTTTTACTACTTTTTTTTTTTTTTTTTTAAAATCAGCAGATGTAGCAAAGAAAAAGACGAATTTAAAAGACTGAAAAAAACCAACCCCACACTCTGAAAAATATCATTTGAAAAAACAGAGGAAAGGCCCAATGTACCTTTAAAAAAAACCCCAAATTGCAATAAAAATGTATAATTAATCCCCCCACACACAAAACCAAACTCTCTAAATAAACAAAACCTGAAAACCTGGCACAGGACAAAGATCTATTCGACTTATCGTGTACCACGACATATACCAGCTGCCTCTTAATAAATACTGTTTTCCCTCTGCTTTCAAGGACAGGGCTACATTTGGCTTCTGCTTAGATGAGGGCTGTATTTTTATCCTCCTGACAGTTTGTAAAGACCAACAGCATTTCGACCCCGACAGAACACTTCAGCGCTGTATCGGTGGGGCGTATTGCACGTCCCTGCAATAACCCACAGCTCCGCTTGCCGACTCGCAGGACTGGAGGAAAAGCCGGTTCCTTCAGCTCATGGTGGGAGGAAGAGGCGACTCTTACCTGCAGTGCACGGTGATGGGGTGATTGCCCGTTTGCTGCTGCTGCTTCTGCACAGCTGCGATCAGGTCGATCATCCCTTTTCCTTCGGCAGGAATCCCGATTTCTGGCCACCCGTGGAAATGGAACTGTCGAACGAGCCTGCTTTGCTTCTCCTGGTTACCCTGCGGGCGGGAAAACACTAGAGTTATCCAGCTGCTACTTCAAGAACGGAAACATGCTTCTTTCCTTAACCATTTGTAGCAGCAGTTTTGCGCTGCTGTAGCAGAGGGGGCTGTTTGCAGCCTGGTCTGTAATATATCGCTCCTGCAGGCCTGATAGCTCTGTTTCTAAATTCCCCATCCGCTCTGCTGATAATTTACCCCTCTAATCTTTTGATTTGCGCAGCTCTTTCCTCCGGGTAGTACTAAGGACACACTGAACGGTTATTCATCCCGAGTACCAACGGTTGAAAGCTTTCGCCATGCACGGGCCAAATCCAAAGTGCCGCTAAAACAACCCAACTCATGAAACGCTCTCATCTTCGCACAGCACTACCTGCTACTTGGACTCCTAACAACTATTTCCCTTGTCTCTACGCTTGCTCATTAAAAGCACGCTACCAGGTCAAACAGGGACTACCACCAGGCTAACGCAGTTAGCTCCAGGCCGGTTTGGATGCACCAAGGCTCCTCACTTTAACCACCCTGAAATTTTTTGCTTGCTGCTTCCCCTGACTGCGTGGAAGCAACGTTAATATCCTGGCAGTTCTACGACCTAGCATCGACTCTCGCAAGCCACAGAGAGTTGAAAACACCAGGTCTCTGCTGGTGCTGGGTGCTGTCAACGTGTCCACCGCAGGGGACATCCGGTGAACGATTTTGATGGGAAGTGTCTGGGCACCATTTTGTACTGGGAGCCTGGAAGATGTCACCATTATGAGGAAAAAGGCTTGGTCGGTCCTTCCTCTGACTCTGCAGGAGATCTTTTAACACAATATTCCTTCAAGTAGCCTCGATGTAGTCCAGCTGGACGCAGGCACATCGCAGAAGTTACCCGGGTTTCTCAGATCTGCACCAGCACACACTTCCAACGATGCAGTGCAAAAACATCGCTGCTTGGCTGTTACCTAAATTGCTGTTCCTTGAGTTTTAAATACTTTCCAACGTGACCTAAGTCAACACATTGACCAGGTCTCTCTGCTTTGTGAAGCACGGGGTGTTCCCACACCTGATCCACCACCCTCCTTCACAAGGAAATCCAGAGCGCGTTCAATTTACAGTCCTTTTGCTTTGCACGGGCCTCACTTATACGCAGCGCAGTAGGTAGTCACACGAATGATATTCTCAAGTACTGCAAGTAATTTGTTGGTTTTTTTTTTTCCAAAAACCAGCAACGCACATCAGATTCTAAAGAAAGGACGCAGTGAGTGAGGAGTTGCATGCCCAAAAGATCAACAACAGGTTTGAGCAGATCGTGCCCGCAGCAGGGAAACACAAAGGCAGAGCTGGCAGGCAGAGCGAGGACGTGTGCTGTAAAAGGCTTCCTGGGATTTAAAAATCTTGAACCAAATTTTCTTTTATCGGCATGTGGGAGATGGTAGGAAATACAAGAACACCAGCAACAACGAAACATTAAAAAAAAAACCAAACCCACACCCCACTTTGACCGACGACATGTTTTACCAAACAGAATTTTCATGGGGCTTTAAGCAAAAATGTTTCATCTAAGCTCCCTCTTGACTGATACAATGTCATCCGTCAATTAACCACATTTATCTTTGGATAGAAATTCCAGCATTTCAGTTACATAAATCGTATTTGTAAATGCCTTCAAATGCAAAAACCCCAACCCCTCATGTAATTTAAACAAATTACCTGACTGTACGTAACTACGAAGTCCCTTACACTTATGGCATCTAACAGGCTGTCACTCTTTATTTCTACAGTGATCTCTCCGTGAGTTACAGAGCCCTCTGATGGCCAGTACTGGCAGCATTTTTCCTGCAAAATTGAGAGAGAATTGTAAGCATTCCTTGACATTTTTCCCAGTTACCTACACTGTCATGAATCTCTGATACAGGAGGTGACATGCAGCATAATCAACCTGTTCTAAACACTTTGTACTGAAAAGGCTAATAACCAAGAACACAGAGTAAAATATTTCTATGCCATCAACCATTAAGATGAAAAGGGCTTGGGACGGCAAATACTGCTTGAAAACAGATTAGAGTGAAATAAGTAACTCCTGAAAGCAATGCAGTGCTGTTAAAAAGCCTCCCAAAACCACCACTAAAAACCACTTCACAGCACTACAACACCCTGGTTGCAGCGTTGAACCCTGAATCTCCAAACTGCAGCATCACAGAATCATTAGGTGGGAAGAGACCTCTGAGATCATCAGGTCTAGCCGTCAGCCCCACACCACCGTGCTCACTAAACCGTGTCCCAGAGTGCCACATCTACACGTTTTTTGAACACCTCCAGGGATGGTGACTCCACCACTGCCCTGGGCAGCCTGTTCCAGTGTCTGACCGCTCTTTCATGAAGAAATTTTTCCTCATGTCCAATCTCAACCTTCCCTGGCGCAACTCAAGGCCATCTCTCGTCCTGTCGCTTGTGACTTGGGAGCAGAGACCGACCCCCCTCCCCACAACCTCCTCGCAGAGGGACACAGGGCTCTCTTCAGTAATTCATGACGCACTAGGAGAGGTTCAGAACAAGCCACCGGAGCTTATACCGGCGGAACAGGGAGGCAAGTTTTCCCAAAAGCTTTGACCAGCTGTTCCCAAATCCCAAACAGCCATTCCGTGTCAGGTATCCCTATAAACCTTGTGTTTTTAATGTGATCTGGACTCTTTTTCAGTAGTTTTGGTAGGTTTTCTGACAGCTCAAGCAAAAGCAGCCACACCGGCCCACACCAAACAGCAAAGCGAGAGCTCGTTTTGGGAAACAGTTTAATATTAACGCCCCTATTTTATAGGGGGTAACAGCAACCGCTTGGCTCTGGAGCTGGCAGCGGCGGGACCCATACCTGCTCCCTCTCTTGAACTTCCGTGAGCATCACGATGGTGTGGCACTTCCACTCCCACACCATCCGCCAGAAATCCTCCACCGTGTGTGGGAGCGGTCCCTGGGTGGCGATGAAGTAATCCTTCTGGCGGTAGCCCTGTGGAGAGAGGCCAGGAGGCGTTTACGTTGTGACACGCGAGTCCAAGGGACGAGGGACAGAAGGCGATGGTCGGAGAGGAGATTGCGACTTAAACCCGGTGCTTCCCGCCAGCCCCGCTGCTGGGCGATGGCGGAGAGAGGCCAGGAGGCGTTTACGTCGTGACACGCGAGTCACGGAAGGCGATGGTCAGAGAGGAGATCGCGACTTAAACCCGATGCTTCCCGCCAGCCCCGCTGCTGGGCGATGGGGCGGCTCCTGCAAATCTGGGGACTCCGAGACCGCCTGATTCTTGCCCATTGCCAGAAAAAAAAAAAGTCCCCCAAGTTCACAACCACAAAAGTCCTATTTTATGACTCTTTACAATCACGGCCAAAGGGATGAAGTTCTGCGGTAATAGGTAACTGGAAGGATTTCCCAATGAGATTGTAACAACGGCAGCGATTAGCTTTCATTTATAACATTAACATTTAACTCAATTTTTGAGCTACGCTTCTATTTACATACTGATGTGCTCTTCGCAGCTGTAGTAGCCACAAGGCACAAGGTTTTACGGCTTAAGGGTATAATTAACTGTCGTCTTTAAATAAAAACAAGACACGGTGGAAGGTGTTGCCCAGGTTCCGACAGGAAGCTGGGAAGAAAGTCAGGAATTGGCACAGGTCTGCCCAGGTACACCCTGGCTCCCAAGCACGGTGACAACCCTTCCCCGTGCTAAACATGGACTTTTCTTTTCCTTTTCCTCAGAAGAGCACACGTTTACCTCAGTTAACCTGAAGGCAGATCATGAACTGTCGGATGTTAGTTGTACAGCTCATTTGTTTCGCTGCCTGTTCGTTAGAATTTAAGAAAAGCCTTAGTTTGCAAACCCAACCACAAGAAGAATGTTGAAATTGCACAAGCATTTAAACTGGAATGAAACGCCAGGTAAGAAATGTATTTGGAAACTCTCATTAGCCAAACCCAAACGAAAAAGCTAATGTTCTTCATAAGCCAAGTCGGTCGTGTCTCTTTAACAGGACTTACCAGCAACAGCAAAATACCTGACTTGCAGTTTAAATACATGAAAACGTTTTATACGTACATCTATGAAGGAAGCATTGATGTAGTCTGTATACTCTTGCCCTCTTTTCATCGACAAAATCACTCTATTAAAATCATCTGGGGAAAAGAAAAAAAGTCTAGTCTTACTTTCGCTAACTGCATGTTGACCGCTCCCCTATTACAAACAACAACCCCCCCCAAAATCTGTTATCTGAAAGCCAAAGAGTGTCTCAAAGATCTTATCCGGGATTTTGTAAGTGTGGGGAGGAGGGCACGGGCTTTGCTGCTGTTTTTTTTTTTTCCAGTCGCGCAGGATACAGCCAGCAAGGCCTGACCGTTTCGTTTGCAGGGGCAGACATTACAGTGCTGCTCCAGACTGTGCGAGGAATCACACCGAAATTAGGTTGGTTTATGAGGCGAAACTGCTGAATTATTTAATTCAGTCCTGAAAAATACCCGATCGTAATACAGTTCGCATTGATAAAGTAAAACCAAGTTGTTGGCAGACGCTGCGTAAGGGCACTACGCTTCTTCCCAAGGAGAGGACAGTGCTGGTTGCACCAGTAAGCTCTCTAGAAACTTCAGAGCAGACACGTCTGCCGAGAGGACAACAAAGCCAAGGCGATGGCTCAGGGAAACACCCCCCAAAAACGTGTTCTAGCTAAAAAGGAAGCAAACGCCAAACCTACCACTCTGGACAGCACAACAGGGTTTGAAAGCATTTGAACTTTACAGGCCAAGAAGTTGAAACTTCTGCTCTTCGTGACATACGCAGTAACTATGTGCAGAACTCCAGTTTCCAAATCCGGGCAGCACCTCTACCCAGCCCAACGGAGCTCTATTCTGCCGCCAGCTGCGGCGGCATCAACGCACAGATAACAGTGGGGGCTCGTGACAGCCGCAGGACAATCGGGCGCTTTCAGCACTCGTTTCTCTACAGAAAAGGTGGAGCTCTTACATGGGATAATCTGGATGACTCGAGCTTTCTTCATATTTGCTGGAAGATTGCCGGTTCTCATGTTTTCCTTCATGATTCGAACGTTGGTTAACTTCTGAAACAGAACACACCAGTGAGGATGAGAGCTCACAGGAACGGGAGTGGTCCTCGCTCGCCATATCCTGTACTCAGAGGGGTCCCAAGTGGCTCTATCGGGTACAAACCAGCGACACAGGCAAAGCGAGACGAAAGCCACTTCACCGTCTAGAAAAATGAACTGTAGCCATGTAATGTGTTCACACTGATAAATATTTCAGAATCTTGAACGTACCGATACAGTTTAAAGGCTGTGAAACAACAGCAGATTTTAACACTTTGGGTCTGGTTGTTCGGGGGTTTTTTTTAAGACACTTTGGGCCGTGGCTTTCAGAAGCACAGAGGCCCCGTTCCCTTTGAAAAGGCCGAAGTTTCGTCAAGTTGACATTTGGAAATTTAGTTTGATACAATTAGCTGCTTCTGAAAAACCTTTTAATAAAAAGCTCTGCACAACGTTTTATCGAATCAATTTTGTGTTTTTCTGCCCAGCCTGCTCGTGAGCAGAGGCAGACCGCCCAGCCCGCCGGCACCCTCTACCTCCAGCAGCAGCCGCCCCCGAGCAGGAGCTCTGCCAAGGGCACCCAGCCAGCTGGACACAAGCTTTTCATTTCCACGCTGCTCTCCGGTCCGGAAAAAATCCTCTTTTACAGACTTCACTTCCTTTACGGTCAAAACACACACCGAATTTGTATTCTTATTCATTTCATTCCTGTTACTGTTACTACAGCCCTGTCCAGAGTTATCAAAACTCCCGTTCTTCAGTCCTCGACCGTGCCCTCCCTGCGGCACACAACCCCGTTCCAGGCATAACACGGAGTTTATGGGCAAATCCTGCAACTTGGCTTTACACATTTTCAAGCTTTTGCTAGCGAAGGGACCCAACAGCCCTCATCGTTTGTTCACTTAGTGCCGACAGCATTCCCAGGACCCAGAAGACAAACGCTGCTCTTGCCCCAACCATTTTCTTACGCTGTAGATCACACACCCGGCAAGACTGTGCCAGTCAACACAACAACAGGCTGCTTCTGCTGGAGTAGGACTCACCAGAAAACCATCATAGCTGCACAGTTGCATTTCAGCAACTATTTAATACAAATTCAATCTAAATTAAAATTCATTTCATTTTCAAGCCGCAAGCAGATTTTTCAGGCACGTATTTGCCAGGCACCGAGTTTCAGGAGCACTTCTCCATTCCAGTAAAACCTCTAGTACCAGCGACAAACTGTTAAAGAGAAACCTCCACCCTCTGAGAAATCACTTTTCAGCTACTCTGTAAATCTGAGTTCAACAGACTCTATGCCAAGAGCCTCTCCCACGAGTTCCACCACAGCCCCACTCTCTCCTGGTGCAGGTGGGCTCTGTGCTCCTGGGCCTCCGAAGTGCTTTCCAGACACAGAGCAGAACTAAACACTGCTCTCCGCGCTTTAACGCGGCCTTGTTGGCACGGTGGATAGCAAAAGCAAACTTAGGAATTCTGGAAAAAGCAGAATATACGATATTTTCATTTGCTTCCTTCCCTCAGACCGACCAATACTTTTTGAACTTGTTGCTATATCGTCAGACTTCTTTTTTACATAATTTTCTGTTCCTGGTTCCCAATTCTTGATTAAATTAATCCTTCAAAGGAAAGCGAGAACTCCAGTTAACACCTATATGTCACTTAACGCTTTAGACCTATAAGTATTTTACCAGAGCACAAGTCACAGCGTTTCCTCAGGACAATAAAGTCTATTTGAAACAAGGACCACAAACAGCCAGCGTGGTCGCCTTCTGCACTTGGCGGTTCTCCACTATACAGAAATGCCGTTTTTTTTTTTTTTTGCTTTTCTTTCCTGACAGGTCTGGATATTCAGCACGAGATGTGTAAATTCTCTGCAGTTCTCTCTGCTGACGGTCATCACTGAGTTAACAATCCTGTTGAGATGCAAATTAAGTGCACGTAATCCCATCAACCAGCTCCCTCTTCCAGCATTATCTGATCTGGCATCTAGTACCAGACTGAGAGAATAATTCCCTTTTTCCTTTACAAACAAACCAAAAGCAAATAGGAAAAGGTCCATCAAATGACGTAGTTTTGACGGAGCGTTCGCAGAACAGGATGTCAAGCAAGGCCCCATTCACCCACCCCGCAGGGCCCATTCACAGCAAGCACAAAACAAAACCAGTTGTTCCGTTCTGATGGACCCTGTCCTTTGAAGGTCACACTTTTCCCGCTATGAAAGCATCTTTTTGGCTTCAACGTTTCCACGCTTAGAAGTCCTACAGCAAAAGATTTTCATACTTACTTTAAATTCTTCTTCTAGCCCTATTTTGACAAGGTTTGGCGCCGCGTTGTGTGACGTTTGTAGGTGTTTTTCTAAGGATGACACATCTAGCTCCGTGTCACCGTAGAGGTAGTATTCAAGTAAGGCTTGATAAATGAAGGAGTATTGCATCTGGAACCAACAGAGAGGCAGATAAGCATACTGCAGTGCAAGGAAGTGAAACTATGAATTCTGGCACTTTCATCTATCTCCTTTGGCCTACAATCTACTAATTATCAAAATATAACCTAAAGTTATATCAAAATGTAAGCTAAAGATATATCAAAATGTAAGCTAAAGATATATCAAAATGTAAGCTAAAGATATATCAAAATGTAACCTAAAAAGATATCAAAATGTAAGCTAAAGATATTAAGCTAAATATCAAAATTAAGATAAACCAGAGTTTTCCTGTTACATCACTCACATTCTCTAAAATTCCACTCTCGTGTCCTTGGGGATACCTGGAGGTGACACCTAAAGACAACCTGCCTCACAGCGGTCTTCACAGCCCTAACGTGCCTTTATCTTCTTCCCCAACCCCATCCTTCTACTGCCCCTTGTTCGTTTTCCAGTTATCCAGGTGCGCAACAGAACGGGACATACTGGGATACGTATCAGAGTGGAAATACAGGAGCATATTCCTCTTTGACCGTGAAAAGTTGCAATTTCAACCAATTAACGTCCACTTACGTCAGTCTGGACCATCTGCGGACGCTGATTACGGATTCTCGACACAAACTCAAAAACATCGACTTTCTGTTCCGCGTGCATCATGTCTATTATGGCATCTATGACGATGAAGGTGCCCGTGCGCCCCACACCAGCGCTTGGAAAGGAGACAAAACCAAACAAAATTTCCATGGAATGACCCAGTCTGCAGGAATTGCTACGGCAATGACACAGGTAGAAGTTACGCTGCTTGTACCGGGCTGAAGTGAACAATCAAATTTCATGTTTTATTTTAGCAACGACAGCAACAAAAAAGGGTTTCAGGTTTTAACCTAAAAAGTCACCTCTGAACAGCTCTGAAACGCTAAGATCAAAATTATATTAGAAAAGAATTTCGGAAAAAAATTCTGCTTGAAGGTATAATCATTCACTCTAGGATGAAATTTTATTTTTTTTTTTTTTTCCTTAATTTTTGCTCATTTCTGCGTAGTTGCTGCATGCCAAATAGGTAACAGTTACTTGTCACAAGTTCTACACTTCCCAACTTTTTTTTTTTTTTGTTTTAGTGTCTTTCCACAGCCACGAGAGGGAGCGCGACCATTATAAATGACACCGCTCCACCGCCTTTCGGCTCTTCCTTTCAGAGGAAAAGGGCATGGCATCCTGGGCTAGGCACTAGCCGCTCTCCTGTAACCTTCTGTGAGCTCCCTCGGTGCAGCGACTGCTGTCGTGTCCTCAGACACCTTCTGAAAAAGGACAAACACCTCTCCCCCCATCCCAGCTCGAAGACACGGGTGAATTTTCATCCGGGAAATACCAGATTTTAAATAACACCAGGAAAAATGATTGCACGGGTAATACGACTTGGCTCACACGTACACGCTCATGCTTTTAACAGCGAACACCGGGTGAAACCAAAGCCCCCGAGGCCTCCTGTTCCAGAGGTCCGGCGGGACGATGCAGACGAGCAGACCCCCGGGGTACCACAACCCGCCTCTAAAATTTCAGGCAACTTCTTCACAGTCACCAAGCCCCCGATAACCTTCTGCCCCCAAATCCCTCGGCGTTGAATCACCAGCTGGGCAGGTTCCCTCTCTCCTCGACCAACGTCCCCATCCGGTTCTCCCACCCGCCGGTCCCCTTTGGCCCC